GAAACTGTTGAATCCCATACCTCCTACTCGAATAGGTTTTTCTCGTGATCATGTTTCTTAACCCCGGTCTATAGTCGTTCCAAAATATATGAGAGGAAAAGCTGATAGTTCCAAAATATTTATTATTTGTTGAGCTAAGCATGAGAAGGTTTTATGCTTTTTTTCCACACGGTGACAGTGCTCTTTCAGTGAAAGCAACTCTAGATCATTTAATGGTTTGAAACCTCGTACCATTGGCTTTCCAAAAATCCCGTCCCGATAGACCATACTTTGAACCTATATACGGGGTCCTGACGGTCATATTTAAGACTCAGCAACCCATCTTTCCCGTTTGAGTTAGGGGTCGCATCGTGACTGTTGTCTAGGACTAACAATGCGATTAATACTCGTAATGTGGTATTTTACAGGTTTAAAAAATAGGAAAGACACCAGGATGTCCGTGACGGGACATTCAGATGTCGACATGGAGTCGGCATCTGCCTTCTCACCTTCTGAGCCCTCCATAGATGGTGTATTCGTGTCAAAGCATAATCAGAGCGCAGAAATCTATCAGGTGACTACCGAAAGCAAGAAAATGTCGCAATCCTGAGTATCATCATCGATTTAGATCTTCAAAGAAGACGTAGATGCGCTACTTTCTGGCAGAACTCCACAACTTGAACAGCCATCGCTGATACAGGTCATTGTTAATTTCAAGTTAATCAGCTTGGTGCCAAAGCGTACAGTTATTTACAAAGAGACCTCATTGTTGTAACTAATGTGTATTGAGAGCAAATTCATAGCTTTGTTAAAGCTACCTTCAAACCGCTCTTCATTCTCTCCTCTTTTCTATCTCTCCCTCTCTCTTCTCTCACCTTCTTCTTGAAGCCGCGAACTGAGTGATCTTTTAAACGCAAGTATAGAGCTAAAAGAATAGAAACAATTTGACATCTAGTTCTAGAGCTTCTATCCTTTGCTCTTTCACTTCAAAAAAAAAAAACATATTTTCGTCATCAGACATACGTTCATAGGCGTACTGAATGAGCCAAAATGGAAGTGAAAGACTTATGCAAAAGATTGTGATCTATGCATACATGTGTACTCCTAGATGTTCTCACCAAAAGATTTAATCTATGAGATCATTAATCGGGATCATTGTTCTGCATACCTTTTGACGACATAAAGTGGACTAAAATGGAGATTCTTATATCAA